AACAAAAAAATCCCATTGAAACGCATTGAAAACCCATTCGATGCATTCCCATGGGCTGAAAAACTCACTGTCCAGCGAAGATCCTCCATATGGCGGCCATTTTCGGCAGTTGTATAGCGAGGAATCCGTCCTAGAAAACAGCGGGGGGGGCATTTTGAGCAGCCGGTGGCCATTTTGAAACCCAGCGATCAGCGGTTTGCTGATCGTCGTAAAGCAAAAAATCGGTTCCCGAAACAGGGAACCGATCAACGTGAAGCAAAATTCCCCCATTTAAAACATCGTTTTGCGATTGGAAAAACAACCGATCAACGTGAAGCAAAATTCCCCCAGTTAAAACATCGTTTTGCAAACGTCGATGTAATGTGGATTCGTTGCAGAGCGGGGTAATCGTCCAGCGGGGCACGACTGTACATTGTGTGGAGAGAGCGTTGGTGGGGATTCATTGGTGGGGATACGAGGAAGACTCGTACACTGACTCTAGGCATGGCTTCATTACACATTAAACGAAGGGTAGGAACCTTTGGGCGATGAGTTTTTTGGACTACCAGTCATATAATTCCTTACCTTTGGCAGCGTTGGCCATGTCTTCTGGACGTTGGGAGCCCTGCAACAGCTTTTTCCTACTCCTTTGTTAATCCCCGCCACTGCTCTTCTCCCGCCATCGCCCTATCCACCAGCAAATCCAATCTTTACGTTTCCTTAGAAACATACCAGGGGTTCTTGAGCCCTGGCAAGCACAGACAGGCAGTCTGAGATGATGGCAGAATCCCTAAAGAGCCTGGGAGCTGTAGAGGGGATCATTTCTTCAACTAGTTCTCCGTTCGCCCCCTTTTGACAAGCCCAGGATGAAAAATGGTCAAGGAGTTGACATTTTCCTGGGAATGGAGGGGAAGTGGAAACAGCCTCCTCAGCCGTTTAACCTCGGGGCCTATCCGGACTTGTGCGTGAAAAGCGGTACTAAACTAGGGTAGTAAACATTTGAAAGCTAGAGGGACTGATCCTTCTGCACATTCCAGCATGCAGGCTAAGTTCCTATACAGGCTCGTGATGAGGTTTAGGTAGACCTTTGCTCTCCTGTGTCCACTTGCGAATATCGTGTGTCTAAAAGTCGGTGTTACTGAATCTTTTGCACTGCACAGGGCGCAAGACGGGGAAGATGTAGACTGCCGAGCGCTGTGGGACTTTATAAATGTCAGCCTCCTTCTCTAGTTAACTCTGCTTGGCCAGGTATGATGCAGTCCAGTGACTGAGAGCAGGATACGTCCCCTGATCCTGGGTTAAGCGGGGTAACACAGGCAGAAGCTTCCAGGAAGGGCTGAGGAGCAGGAGAATCACAGCTCTGGACGGTCAAGGACAGTGAAGGAGATCCTTGGTTAATACCCCCATTTTGTACTTTTGCGTCTATACCACAGATCCCTTCCTCTTGCACAAGGCACTGCAGTTTTGCACAGTGTGTGTGTGTGTGTATGTGTGTGTTTGTAAGAATCCAGTTTGTGCTCTGAAATTTCTCAGGTCTGGCTTTGCCGAGAGCCCTCCCTCCCCATACGATTTGTGTGACCGTGTTTTCACTGAAAAGGCAAACCAAACGAGAGTCTCGTCTTGGCCACGAAATGAAGCCCCACTGGCAACGGTGCCCTCCAGCCAGCCTGCTCCTTTTGTGAGATTTGCCCCACCTTGTCTGGTTTTTGTTGTTTTTTTGGTCCATGTCTGCTTACGAAAAAAAACTGTATTTTTAAAGGCTAGGAGGAGGCAGGCCGTGCTTCAGGGGGAGGGCCCAGGGCTCGTCTGTGTCTCAGACCAACACGTCTGTCTGTCTGTCCATCCACTCTTCGGCGGCTCTTATGTACTGCAGCTGGCTGTCGTGGTGACATTTCTCTCCGTCCCCCAAAAATAAAACTGGATTTTCAAACTGGCGATTCCTCGTCTTTTTATGGCCTGTCCATCGATCTGTGCTCATCTGATTTTGGAAGCGAGACAGATTCAGGTTAAACTACTTAACCTACTAGTTAAGCGAACTAGTGCTGGTGAATTCCAGGGGAAAGGATCTTGTTTGAAACCTGGAAAGCTGCTGCCAGACCAAGTTGTCAGTACTGTACTAGATGGAATAATAAATGGACTGAACTATGAACGCAGGGTCCTCTGTCTTTATGTGGACCGGAAGGATCATTCTGTAGACCTAGTTATACATGTGGTTGACACTGTGTTTGATTACAGCCTCAAAATACTCAGGAAATACTAGGAGAAGGCATTTGCTGATGCTGTGGCTTTTCAGCAGCCACAACAAAGTTTGGTTCAGATCCACTAGATCACTGGTTCTTAACCTTGGGTTACTCAGGAGCTTTGGACTGCAACTCCCAGAAGCCTTCACCACCAACTGTGCTGGCTGGGGTTTCTGGGAGTTGCAGTTCAAAAACATCCGAGTAACAAAGGTTAAGAACCACTGCACTAGATAAAAGCAATGGTACTCGCTTGAAAGAGTTTGATGTCAACTAAGGAATAATTGAAACATGTTTGTGTTAAAACCCATCAGAGAGAGTGGGAGTAGCTGCTCAAATTCAGAATTTTTTTGGGGGGGAGGGGAATATAGTGCCATCAAAAGTTGGACCAACAACCTCCAACAATACAAACTTTTGCTAAATCCAAATCCTAGGTCTTTGAAGCACAGGAAAGCAAGCCCTACTTTCAGCTAGCTCAAGTTTCCTTCCCACAGAAAACCGAAACCGCTGCCCCACCACCTTGAAAGAAGCAGCTTGGATTCAGCATAAACTAGAATGGGAGGTGTGATGACTCGAGTGGAATCTGTTTCTGGAAGCCCATGTGCCCACTGGACGTTGATCCTTGTCAAGTGAATACCAATTAGCCCACAGCACCACCACGTCCCTTGTCCAACAATACAAACTGTTGCTAAATCCAAATCCAAGGTCTTTGAAGCACAGGAAGGCAAGCCCTATTTTCAGCGAGCTCAAGTTTCCTTCCCACAGAAAACCGAAACCGCTGCCCCACCACCTTGAAAGCAGCAGCTTGGATTCAGCGTAAACTAGAATGGGAGGTGTGATGACTCGAGTGGAATCTGTTTCTGGAAGCCCATGTGCCCACTGGACGTTGATCCTTGTCAAGTGAATACCAATTTTTTGCAAAGTTCAAGGTTCGGGAGCAGCTGCCGCTCAACTTGGCACAGAACAGGGGAGATGTTCTGGCTCTTCTGGCTGAATGCTGATGTTTCCCAGTGAAGAGCTGCGTGGGGAGGGTGGGAGAAAGGCAGACATGCCAACACTGACGGACTGTTCCCAAGGCCCTGGGCATTGAAGGCAGCCAAGTTTGAAGGGGCCCAGCAACATGGAGACAAAGGAATCAGCTCAACTCCAGAATGATTCTCCAGGACTGTTAAGCAGCCATACTCGGGAGCCGGGCGGGGGGGGCATGGTCTGGTTCACACCTCTGAGTCCCCCCCATCTGTGTGATTATAAGACCAGGGCTTAAGACACCGGGAGGGGGGGGAGGGAAAGAGCCTCTCTGGAGGTAACTGGAGTAAACAGGGAGACATCCATCAACCCTGAGCTTGGAAGCATTTTGGACTACAGCGCTACAGCGCTAGAGTGCCTGCTACCTGGGGGATTCTGGGAGCTGTAGTCTCCAAAAGTAACTTTCCAGAACTCTGAGCATCCTCCCAAGGAAGTTACTGGAAGGTGTCGTCCAAGGATAGTCTGGACACCCTCCGTGCTGCTCTTCCTCCACCACGGCAAGATGCAGAGGATTTTCTGCGCCCCCGCTTTGCTGGGTTCCCTTTACCGTGGGATGAAAGCCACCCAGCTGCAGGTGGGACAATTTGAACCCAGGCCATGATATTCAGGTCCCTGGAGGGGGGGTGAGCATATTGGCTCCTGAGCCTTAGAAAGTAACATCCTGAGGATATGCTTGTAGATTTCCTTTTTTAAAAAATGCTCACCACTCTGGGTTTCTCCAGAGGGATTAGAATACAGCTCCCATCATCCCCAGCCAGTGAGATGATGGCTGGGAATTTGCAGTCTCGGCCATTTGGAGAGCCCTGGTTTGGGAGAAGCTACCCGAAAACATGGATCATACTCTCCCCCCCCCAAAAAACAGCCACAGCTGTAGCCTCAACACGCCGCCCCCTCCCCTGGAGTAAAGGTGTTCTTCAGCTGAGCATTAAAACGTCTGCCTTGCATGTAGGTCACAAGTGCAATCCTCCCCTTTTGCAGCTGCACAGAGTGTACGTCAGAAACCGCAGGATGAGGCCCAAAATACGTGCCTATGAACTAGCAGTATCTTTTGTCTAAATTGTGTGCTTCCCCAATACTTTTTGACTGCTAGCCAGCAAGGATCCTTGAACCCACAGCTGGTTTTCAATACCTTTAACAAATCTCTGGGCTTCTGCAGGCAACCCCTGGCTTCGCTCATATCAAATGCAATAATATGATAAAAATCTTGGAACTGCAGGGTTGGAAGAGAGCTTCTGGATCAGCCCCTGTCGAGAAGGTCCAGTTGGGAATCAAACTCCCAACCTCAGGCTCCGCAGCCGGAGACCTCAACCCACTGAGCTCTCCAGCCATTCTCAAGAAGAGCCCCATCCAATGGGAAGGAAAGACAAGGCGGATTGAGGCTCCTTCCCACGGATTCCCAAACGCAAAGGAGCCAGCCTTCCTCGGTCTAAGATGTAAGCCAAGAACACTGAGGATCTGCGTTTCACAAAGGCTGCTGCAGTCCAAGGACGGTGCCGCTCTGAGCCCCCACCTCGAAGGGGAAGGCGCCATGAAGTCCTCCAAAACATGAGCACAAAGCTTGGGGTCAAGACAGCTTTGTGAGCTAGCGCATAAAAACTCAGGCTAGCTTGCTGAAGACAGAGAAGCCCATGTCCTGCCTCTTTTTCGCCTTTCCTCCAGGCAGGCAGGACCTTGCGCTGGCTTTTCCCAGGAGGGGCGTCCTTGGGCGTCCCACCTCTCCCTCCCTCCCTCCCTCCTTCCTTCCCAGATCAAGCTTCATTCCACGGACAGGGCCATCAGTGCGTTTATTGTGATCCGCCGTCTCGGCCTTACAGGTCAGCGCTGGTGTAGAGGGAGGGCACCATCTCCAAGCAGGAGAAGGCCACCAGACCCTCCCCAAATTGGCTGCCGCGGGAACAACACAGCAGTACCTAGGAATTGTCCTTGTGCGAATCCTCGTGCTTCAAAAAAAGGAGCACGAATCGGGTGGTTCTTCCGCTCCCCAGACAAATGAGGACAAGGACAGGACAGCTGTGGTCCATTTCTCTCTCTCTCTCTCTTCTTGCTTCGACAGATGTGCATTTAGAGTTACATTCGTTTATTTTGCTATTTGAATCTTCGAAACCCCGCCACTCACTAAGACCCATTCTCAAGTCCGGCCAAGAACTGCTGGGCCCACCAGTCGTCCAGGTCTATAGGCACAAAGTCTGGAGTGGGGAGGGGGAAAAAAGGAAGTGGTTTAAATCAGGGCTCCATGGAACAGAAATCTCACCTGCAAACGACAAGGACATGCTGTAGAGGGAGCGTCCCTGGGTGGGTGGGGGGCTTTGCAACGTTTGGGGCTGCAATTCCACAGTTCCTGCCCATGCTAAGAGAGACAGATCGGAATGGCAGGCGAAAAGGTCTACTTTTCATGTTCGAATAAGTAATGGGAGAGGACGCTGAGAACTCTTTTGCAACTTGGAATACGATCTAAGTCAGAGAAGAATTCGGTGGGTGGGGGGCCTCTACAGTTCATCTTTTATTTTAAGGAAGACTTTGGAGGATGTGCAGTTTATTTGGCTAATAAACAGAAATTTAATACAGACAAGACAGAGCTGCTCCTGGTCAGACGAAAAGCGGATCAAGGAATAGGGACGCAGCCTGTGCTGGATGGGGTGACACCCCCTCTGAAAACACAGGTGCGCAGTTTGGAGGGTTGCTCCTTTTTCTCCTTCAAAAGGACCCATGGCAGCTTAACCTCGTTAAAAGACATTTATAATTCATCATCATCATCTTACATTTATACCCCATCTATGCATTACCTAGTAGTAATCAAGATAGCAGAACAATAATTCTAAATAAAAGGAAATTCCAGCACATGGGGGCTCACAGGACAAGGAGCCCTGTTCTCTTTTGAAGCTGCAGAGATGCCCCAGATGGGGCCCTGTGCCATATAACAGTGGTCCCCAGCCTTGGGCCTCCAGATGTGCTTGGACTACAACTCTCAGAAGCCTTCACCACCACCTCTGCTGGCCAGGATTTCTGGGAGTTGAAGTCGAAGAACATCTGGAGGCCCAAGGTTGGGGACCACTGCCATATAATATTCCTCATTGGGTTGTAGGCATTCTCTCCATGCTGTGTCTTGAAATTAGACCATAGGTACTTACTTTTTAGTTCTGGGCAAAGTGATTTCTCTACGTATGATACCGGGCCAGACTTCTTGTCTCCTGGTTGACTGTCATTCAGTTGTTGTTCTACTTGTTGCCATGCTAGAGTGAGAGAGGAAAAGAGTGCATGAGGTTGGAAAGGCAACCAATTCATCAAAGCCACACATCAGCCCTGTACCCAGACTTTGGAAATCCCTCCCTCCCTCTTCTTGGCCTACAACTCTCAGAAGTCCCAGCCACCTTACAATCCAGAAATGTAACTTTTCCGATCTGGGAATTACTTGTTCTGAGTCGAGTCAACAAATTCTTTGTACTTCAAACAAGCGAGGTGTTGCTTTTCTTTCCATGGACTGGAGAAGCAATACTTGTTGAGTTTTCTCCACAACAGGCGATAGATTAGATAGATTAGATAGATAGATAGATAGATAGATAGATAGATAGATAGATAGATAGATAGAGAGAGAGAGAGAGAGAGAGAGAGAGAGAGAGAGAGAGAGAGAGAGAGAGAGAGAGAGAGAGAGAGAGAGAGAGACAGAGACAGAGACAGAGAGACAGACAGACAGACAGAGAGAGAGATGAGAGAGAGAGAGAGAGAGAGAGGACCTTCTCCTACCAAATCAGTTCTCTTTATTTATTTATATAAACACTGTGGGTGCAGAAAGCCACAACGAACTGAACACGCTCCTGTCGGTAATGGAGTCAGGCAAATGATATGAGGAAACACATGTGTGTAAAACACCACAAAAGCGACAACGACATGCCAACAAGAGGGACTGGAAATGAAGAAAGGGGCTTTCAGCCGAAGTGGGCGGTGGCTCCTGCTCCCAGGTAGCTCACTCACCTTCGTGCACAAACCGAACGTTTTCCTCATGAGCCGCAGTGTAGCTTTCTTCTGTGGTTGACATGGGGAAGGGCATCAGCGGTGGTCTTTTGCCATTTATCCTGTTGAATACGAGCTTGGGAGCCGGGCTGCCATGAAAGACAGAGACCAAAGACTTCAATAACAGGTAATAACCCTAAATCTGTCCTTGAGTCAAAGCTTTTGCAAGTCATTAGAACTCTATTGTTCCACTGGACCATTGTCCAAATCTATTTTTAAAGAAGACGGCTCAATAACTCAGTGAGTTGGAGAAACCAGCAGAGAGAAAAGCCAACCTGTATAGCCTTGGGCAAGGTACCAGAGTGTCACCTAGAAGGGAGGTAAACCACTTTTGAGTATCTCAAATCTAGAAAAAAATTGGAAAGATCACCACAAGTCACATTAGACAGCATGTAATGAGTATTATATTTGAGGAACATTTCATTCCTTTCATCTTTCTGTACTTTACTGCATTGCTTGGGGATCCAGATAGGCAGAAAAGCCACTTCTTCCATCAGCTTTGCTTGGAATAATCAGCACCAAGGAATGATGAGAACTGATACATAATTATCAATGAACAAGTTAAAGGAGTCTCGTGGCGCAGTGATCAAATTGCTGTAGTGTAGCCAGACTCTGCTCATGACCGGGGGTTCAATCCCAGGTAGCTGGCTAAACGTTCACTCAACCTTCCATCCTTCCGAGTTTGATAAAATGAATACCCAGGTTACTGTGGGGAATGTGTAGCCTGCATAGTTAACTTGTAAATGATCCAGAGTGCTTTAAGCACCATGGGGTGGTATAAAAACAGCAACTTTGCTTTGCAGTGTAGCCTGCATAATTCACTTGTAAACCATCCAGAGTACTTTAAGCACCATGGGGTGGTATAAAAGCAGCAACTTTGCTCTGCTTTTTAGCAGATTTAATCTCTAACCCAGAGCAGGGTTTTTGTCAAGCCAATGGGTCTTATTTGCTCACTCAAGACCATGCCACCTCAAAATACTTTCCATCGTAATAAGACTAAATCACAGGAATATATTATCATTGAGGGAAGTCCTCTGCACACCAGCAGCTCAGCTACTTTGAAGATTACAGCTAAGCTTGTAAGGAAGATAGAAGGGGGGAGGAGGACAATACCACTGCCTCTGATACTCAAGGTGGCCATGTGTCGGATCCTTTTAACTCCTGGCTCTGCAATACCACTGGTAAAGGATGATGCACCCTGCAATCCTATAACAGCTGGAGAATCATAAATCGCCCCACCCTGTTCTATATGAAGGTCTGCTCAATCCAGATGGCCGTCTTCAGCCTTAGCACTTGTAAAGCAGAAGGAGCAGGTATCTGTATGATACATTCTGCTCCCATTTTAAGTTGCAGTAACAATTTCAATTAATTAAAGACTACTTAATTATACAATTAAATAGTCTTCAAGTTTCTTGTCTTCTTTAATTTTTCTTTTTCTTTTGTTTTCGGCCTAAAATCTGCACCGAGACCTACCTATGTCGTAACAGATCTGCACCCCTTCTGGAGGTGATCCCATCTGGCCATCCTACACTTCCTCTCTAAACCAGGGCTGGCCTACTTTTGGCACTCCAGATGTTTTAGACTACAACTCACACTGTCCTTTATCATTGGCTGGGGATTCTGGGAGTTGGAAGTCCTAAACATTTGGACTGCCAAAGTTTTGCTAGGGCTAACTTCTCTGCATCATGCAAGGAAATTGGGTGACCACTCTAAGGAACTTTCTGGAGACATCCCAATGCTTGGAAAAGTTACTTTTTTGGACTACAAATCCCCGAGTGCTCCGGGCAGCTTGGGCTAGGCTGGCGAGGGATTCTGGGACTTGTGGTCCAAACTCTTCGGAAAGTCAACATCTCGGAAGGACTGGCCTTGACCGGGCACCCCAGCTGTCAGCATAGGAGCAGCATCGTTCTCCTCTCCAATGTTTGCTCTTGTTTGAAAAGCATTGATAGGCCATTCCTAATTGCAGGTCACTATTTCTGGAGACTGCAAAAGTCAAGGGCACTCGCAGCTAAGAACGATATTGCAGCTCTACAAGAGCAAGAACGGCACAACGCTGCACGCCGGTTCCTTCCTTGTAGAAGCTATTTGGCCAGGCAAGCCCCAAGCGAAGTCTTCTAAAACCATTATGCCCTGTTTTCCTGAACCACGAGCAGACTGTGGGGCTTGGCAAGGGCTGGGTGATAATGAGGCTGATGATGATGGGGTGGGAGTGGGCGGGAGAAGTCCCCTCTCTCTTTTTTTGGACTACAACACCCAGTGGTCTTGGATTTGGATTCTAGGACTTGATGTTCAAAGGAAGGACTTTTTCCAAGCTCTTTCTGTACATTGTAAGGGTAGGGGAAGGAAGAAATGTGACCGAGAAAGTCTTGAGCTACAGTTATTCCTTGTTATCAAGGGTGAGACCAAACTGTGGTCTTCAGAGGTTAGTGCTACCGGTCCCACCAGCCTCAGCCCAGTCCAAGAGGGTGGGTTGCTTTCTCTACATGATGCATCATTTTACACCCAAATTTACAAAATTTGGGTCCATGGTTTTGTACACAAGTTAATCACGTCTCAGATCTTCTTTTGCTCACTTTTTCTGTGTAGGAAAAAAGTTCTTCCTCCCCATACAAAGGAAGTGTATCTCCCTCACCTTTCCCACTGTAGTGTGTATGTGTGTTCATGTGTGTGCGCGTGTGCGCATGTCAAAGGATTTAGGGCCCCCAATGGAGGGGTGATCAAGGACTTCCCCCCCACCTCCCTGCTACATTTTAAAGCCACCTGGGCAACTCTTTATTGTATAAATGGTGTCTCCATTTATTATCTTGATTTTAATAGGTTGATTTTATCTGTAACTTTTATAATCATCTTGCTAAGGCATATGACTAATGCAAATAAAATACTAACTGGCGTCTCCTCTAATTGACTCAGTTTAGTCCAGCATCGTCAACTCTGATCGGCAGCAGCTCTTCTGCATTTAGGCAGGAATTTTTCTCTCCTGTCTAGAGATGCTAAGGAGCAAACGTGGGAGTTTCTCCATGCGCAGCATATAACCAACCAGTGGCCTGCAACCCTTCTCCATTGCCCTCCAATAGTTTCCAAATTATTTCTATTTTTGTTATTGTTGCTGTTTCACAAAAATGAAGAATTAAGGGCAAGGAAACACATTTTTTAAAAACGATAAAAATAAAAGAACAAACACAAGTCTTTCTCCCAGCCTGTCTCAGCCTATTTCTAAGGATTCCAATCCATCCATTCTCTGGATCTGGAATCCACTGGCAGGATCGTGACCACCCTGAGCTCAGAATCCGACCGCTTTTCTGACCCACCAAGCCAGCCCTGCCTGTCTCCCTTTCCTTTTTCCTCCCTAGCCTCCATGCCCAGCTCATGGTCTTATCAACATTTTAGCACACCGGTCTGGGCTGAGCATCGCTGATCCTCTGAGGTCACTGGAGCAAATGTGCGTCAGGATGCTGCCAAAGTCAAGGGTGAGAGAGACGTCAGAGAACACCAGGAAAGGGTGAGAAAACAAAGCCTATGTGTGATATTGTGTGTGTGTGTAGGAGGGGGTGCAACAGGTGGCATCCAGAGTTCCTCCACCCTAAATTATACATTATGCTGGACACATTTTAAACATATTCTTAGAACTGGCCACAGAAAAAGCAAGAACATGGTCCCCCAATTTGATTTCAAACCATGGCACGGGGGAGAGGCGAACACTCTCTTCTATGCCATTTTCATGCCAAAACCTGCAATTTGCTAAGGCTTTAGCCGAAAATGTCGAAAGGATACATACTGTACGTTGTTCGCCCCAGTCACAAAGACTAGATGTCTTCACGTTGTGAGGGCTGTGTGGGGAGGAATTAGGTACCATGCAGGCTGTTATTGTTCTGGGTCACCAAGGAACTGGTTTATGTTCATCACACAGAATCCTTTCCAAGGGCATTGCAAACAGTCGCTGTTTTGCTTTGCACGCAAAGAAAACATTCGAATTAGCACTATAACCAGAGAAAGGGATGTTCTTACTCCAGTGTCTATACTGGAGATACATTGTTACATAGAAGTTGCATATAAAAGATTGCTTCTTCTGAATTCTAGGCGTCTCTACTCAAGAGGCAAGGTCCCTTGAGCTCCGTGAGATTTACTCCCAAGCAACTGCATACAAGCCCATGTGTAAATGAGATGTGAGAATTGTAAATCACACGAATGCAGTTGCATCACTAGAACAATTCCTCCAGAACAAACAGGAATGCATTTCGTAATCCGGGGGAACAGAGTGGGTAGACTAGGGAAGTTGACTACATGGTTGTTTACCAATATCTCTCATCCATTCACAAGTTATATCAGTATGTACGGTTGTAGGTTAACCAGATCTGAGGTACTAAGCATGCAAACCAAAGCACACCATTTCCTGACCTTTGAGGGAGGCATGGAGAGTCCAGTGCCAGCTCAGGATAATTTGCTGCCTGAGCCGGAGGACAAAAATGGCACTGTTCGCCTCTGTCCAGTCGGAGCAGCCATGGACTCTTGCTTAAACCCTGAGACCGAGAGTAAACAAAGGCATCTCTGAGGCAGCAACGCAGGCTGTCTCATCTTTCCACACCTCCCGGCTGAAACACAGATGCCGACATCAGGTGCCTTGCGATGCCCGAGGCCAGCTCTGGGAGGTCCCTCGCTTCACAATCGCCGTGCGTTGCATAATAAATACGGCAAAACATGAAAACAATTCCAGCTGCAGGCCTGCAGCTCCTATCATCCCCCCAGTAGGAATGGGTGATGCCACCTGGGGAGACCATGGGCCACACAGCCTGGGGAATTCTCGGAGCCGCCACCCGAAAGAGCGGATCTGCACACTTCTTAATCATGGTGAACATTGCTTGAAACGTGTCTGTTCCTTCTCAAGAAGCGAAGGTGGTCTTCTGACACCCCCC